ACTTTCGCTGGGATGACGGAGTAAACAGAAAGTTATCTGAGAACGGCAAAAAAGCAATAGGTTCGTGTCTTTGCCGTAGTTTCACGACTGCAACGTGAAACTTCTTAATTTCACGTTTTTTGGGGGACTTGTGGGTACAAAACAACAATTTTCCTTTTCTGTTCCTGAATTTAGATACAGTGCTTTAGAATTCAGCTCCAGCACTGACAAATTGAACGAGGTGGAATATGAGCAATGAAGTTTGAAACAGGGCGAATTCACTTTTTATCAACTAACGTTTTCTCCTCCGCCTTTGCCGTCGTGGCTGCTAAAGCTTCCCATTCATTGCATGCCGGGCATAAGATAATCTAGCTTGTCACAAAAGGTAGTAAAGCTGCTGAACCATAGTAACCGCAACATTTGATTCGCCGCATTACTGTACATGTCTTACTATACAAGAATTGTGTTCTATTTTTTTTAACCAGGCTTTTCATCAAAAGCAACATCACCTATGCAACCCGGCCTGTTCAGCGATATGGTGAGCGTACCGACCAGCGGTAAACAGATTAAAGACGAGCGTGAGACATTTAAGAACTTTCTACAGGCCATCAATCTCATGCCGCGGGTTGCCAAGCAACAGGACACAGCCAGCACATTCTCTGTGAGCACCAATCTGAGGTACCTTCACGTGCATCTTGTAGACGGAGGATTTGATAACTTGGCAAAGAAAGGTAAAGGAAAAGGAAAGAACCGCGTAGAGGCTAAAGATAAAAAGAAGCGGAGACAGGTACGTTGAAGAGTGACCTTCTCAGATTCTAACTTATCATTTTACAAAGTTGCTTTGGTTACTTACATTCCAAGTGTAAGCTAATTAAGTTGACACAGTTGACAAACAACACATGTAACTGCTAAAGATCCTTCCGTATTCTTGGAGTGTATGGGATATCGACTGCTATCGAAAGGGCTTGTTTACATGGAGGTGGGGTGCCCCAGGTAGGTGAGTTAACATGTTTCGGGTTACCCCACCTATCATGTAAATGTTATCAAGTTAAAATGAGAGATTATATGGACAGGCGGGTTACCCCACCTAAGCGGGTTACAGCACATACCTGGGGTCCCCCACCTCCATGTAAACAGGCCCTTAGTGGTTATAGTTAACCGACGTACATTTTATAGTATTCTGACTTACTTACAAAGACCTATAGATTGATCGTTGCTTCATTTTTCTGAAGAATAAAATCAACTATTGAATAAATTGATGTATAGATACAAAGGTAGGGAATAGAGAATTGATCGAGAAAGTTTTTAGAAATTTTGATTTGTCCGTCACTGTTATCTTGATCCTTGAGTTTTCAAGAAATCACGGATTCGCCTTATTTACACTCTTGTGTTTTTCTTGTAGGAGACGGATCCAGTTTTCATCGCCAGAGACTTCGTTCTCAGATTTCTTCACGATGAAACTCCACTAGATATTCCTCTCCCTAAAAGCCCAAAAAACAGTTTTCACTCGGCTGACGAAGACAGTAGTAAGATGACACAAATCAAGTTCACTGTGGGCTGTGGAAACATCACGCAGCGCGTCAATCTCTCTTTCATCCGCTTGAGCCTCCAGGTCGTTGACATGCTTGATTTGTTATCGGATTTTATCTCAAAGAGCGCTGAAAATGAAAAGCCGCCATGTGCGTCTCAAAATCCGAGCTTTATGTCAGCTTTTGATAAAACTGATGGGGTGCAGCCGGGAAGAGCTAAGGTACCTCTTGATCATGTAAAATGTTGGAGGATCATGTTCCATGTTGTGGATCTTTATTCGTCCTTACCGCGTGAGGCCAAGAATAAGGGCTATTTGAGGAGGAACAACATTGCACGAGTGCTTGGGGGTAAGCTTACAAGAGATACTTATTGAAGGGGTAAACGTGGTGTTGAAAGCGAAAAAAGTGAAATCAGTATTCAATTTAAAAAAACTTTTAAAAGTGTACCTATTGTTTTGGAGTCTGAAAACATTAGCCGCGTTTGCAAATTGCACTTGTAAAAGTTTTATTAAATTGACCCCTGTTTCTTATACTTTCATTAACTTCATTACGAGTTTACTCATAGTTTTTAGTATTTTTTTGGCGAACAACATCTGGGAAAAATGTATTAGTGCAGACATATAACCTTGCTCTATGTATTCTTTGGTGATTTATTCCTTCATCTTTGAATTCTACTTGTAAATACTTCATGAGATTCAGAAGGACAACAACTGTGAAGGATGAGAAACCTTCGCCAAAACAAACTTCGAAATTTGAAAATAAATAAAAAACTATAAACTGTTGGTACTGCGTGCCTCACGCCGTCCCTTCCCTTTATCCACCGTGAATAATATCTTACATTAATAAAGTTCCTTTGAACTTCAGGATTTCATTTTCTTTCCTTTTTTCTTGTAAGCGGAGAGATTGTCTCCAGAAAAGCCTCGGGATGTCAAAATTGACATTGAAGATGGACTTGTGGAAGGTAGAAAAAGACGGCGCGCTCAGAGTCCAGTTAGTTCCGACAAGAGAAAGTCAGGGGCAAGCCGTAGCACCACTGAGGCAACAGCCACTCCTGAGCAGGAGGATGCGCCAACTGTTATACCGCTGAGCACAGTGATCGGCGTCGTGACCTTACCTCGAGTGAAACTGCTGGCCAGTATTGGCGGGCTTATTTTGGAGACGGAGATTAGAGAAATGAGCGCTTCGTTCTCTCGCAAAGAAGAGACTGAAAAGGATCACAAAGGTTTGACATGACTTCTTTCTTCCTGGTATTCTTTCAAACTTTGTGTAACTTAAGATATCTATGGCGGGAACTAAGATTCTGTTTGTATTTATTGTTTTTAGGCCAAGTGTTGTCTTCTGTGACGGCACATCTGGGAAAAACTAAAGTGGATTTAAAGGAAGCCTCAAAGTTTGTCACAGGGTAAAGGAAGAAAGAACTTATGTCCTAAATTATTGACTCATTCTTATCTAGACTGGCCGTAGTTTAGGCGTTGTTACTGACTCGAGGCTTGGGGTGACAAAATAGGGTGATAGGTATGAAATTATTCACTCAAGCCTCGGTTTCGTTTCA